GAGGTTTTTCTAACAAACTCCCCTTTTTTTAGGTAGATATTGATTGAAACCTTATGGGCAGAAGAACATACTGAATCCTACTGATACACACAATGTCTCTCATTCTGTCCATCAGGAAGGTATTTTAGTGAACTTACAGAATGAATAGAGCCAATGCACCTAAATTAAAATGTTCTAACAGCGCATGTGAGACACCAGGAGTCAAATGATCTTATTTTCTTGTTGCTTAAAGTAGATCACATCAAGAGTCAAGATCTGGTTGGGACATTTTATTCTTATTGTATAGCAGGAAAACGATATGTAGCATGCTGACCCCCTCCTTGGGCTTATGTGAGGTTGCTTATGTCATGAGGATATGAGAAACTCTTGCTTGTAGTATTCCTGCATACTGTGGGAGAATCGCATTATTGTTAAGTGACTATTGTTAAACTCCCAAGTAGGGTCTGGGTGAGTGCGTGGCTGCTAGCTAGGTGTTGAATGTGGTGTGTATCATAGATACTCATCAGAAATACAAAGCAGTATTACCCAAGACCGTCAAAGAGAAAAAAGCAGTAGGAAGACTGCAAGATATAAAACACAAGGGGAGAGCTGGTTAAGCTGAAGGAAGATGTGGCTCCATATTACAGTGCAAGACTGACTTCTTAGCATTTAAATTCCGGTTCAGGGTTGTTTATAGTGTTGGAAGCAAAGCAAAGGTCTGAGATAAACTGCAAAAATAACTCAAATAAAGGCAAAAAATAAGGGCAAACTTCTGCCTTTGAAGTACAAAAATACAATATGATAACACAGCTGGCAACTGTCCACTAGAACTGGCAAATGGATGGGAGATAAAAATCTGAAAATGAGCAGAAAGACATTGAGGATCTTGGCACAAGGATAAGTCCTTTGATGGGTCATACAGTTGGAGTTTCTCTGTAAATCTACTGCTCCAAGTTCATAGTTTACACATCGCAGAGACTCTGATGAAAACCTCAATGCTGATGCCAATAGTGGATCTGCTTTCTAAATTTCAGGTATGGTTCCACAAAGCGCCTTTCATCAATGTGTAAAGAGCCACCTGGGTATATACCTAAGGACATATGGTGGCCTGGATTACAGCTCAACACTTAAGTATTGACATGCTTTCTGCAAACTTACATTGTCAAGTAGTATTTATGAGAGCCCCTTTCCTAGGGACCAGGTCCTAACTAAGCACAGCATTGCCCCCTTCTTGACGAGCAGGACAGCACCAAACTAAGGCTCTCCCCCTGGCTCCCTCATATGAACCCCCTTGGCCAAATAGCACAAGCAGGATCCCAGTCTCTTCCCCTGCCAATACCTTTCCTCTCAGTTGAGCTTTTATGGCTCATGGGAGATTTTCTGTTTTTTTTTTCTGAGGGAACATTGTTGGGTTTTCTTTGATACCATCTCTTGACCTTGCAGGCAGTAGGAATGATACTAGGATGCAGGGTATATCAATTGGAAAAGCTGGACTTGACCAGGCTCCTAGGTCTGGTTGGGTGACTGTCACAAAGGATCACCTCTTAATTCTGTGGGCTTCTCAGCTGATGCACTCTCAGCTCTTCTGTGCTGGAACAGTCCTTATGGCCAACTAACAGGGTCTCAGTTTCCAGTTATCCTGCTGTGCTGCTGCTGCTTTTCCTGTTCCTTTCAGGGGCTGCCATAGAGAATTAATCCAAACATTATACTTCTCCTTTGTCTCTCAGAAGTGTCAATATTTTCTTCTCAGATGAACTGCTTTCATGGATCTCCTGTGAGACACTTCCCTAATTCAAAGACTTCTGGCTGTTACTCAGTTCAAGATACTAACTGTGCTTGAGATGAAAAACAAGCAAATCTGGCAATGCTAGCTGAAGCTAGCATTAGTCGGTGCTCCTGGCGGACATTTTAGCATGGGATATACAAAAAAGTTAAATTATCACAATGATAAGCGCAGTGATACAAAAGAAGGATTGTTTCTTGTGTCTGGTTTTAAGACAAGTACTGTTTAATATTTTCTTCCTCTACGCCTTGTTTTGATGATATTTCCCAAATACCTCCAATTTCTAAAATGTAATTCTTCCAGGAGGATTCCTAGAACTAAATCAGAAAACATTTTATGATGATAATGAAAACAGAGAATATGTGGAGCATAACCAGACCGCTCACTGTGAAGGCATCACTCAGAAAACTGTGTGTCATGTTTTTTCTCTTTTTTTTTTTTTTTTTTTGACTATTAAAGAAAGACCCATTGAATTTATATACAACTGTTTTGGTTTCAGTAAGATACAGCAATAATCTCAGATTCAAAAAATGAATGTAAATTAATGTAATGCTGACTTATGCAGAAAGCCATTTGCCTTATTTTTTTCTTTTTTCCTCTGACATTGAATCACCACTCTTTCATGCACAACATGGATGTCTCAAATCAGAAGAAAGTGTTGGGACATCATTCCCAGCAGCGACCCCCATGTAAATGCCTTGCATGTACTCCGACAGATCCTCCAGATGCAGGTCTTGCAAGCTAGTGGAGGAGATGAAACCGGAGCTGAATTCTGCAGCGCCACCACTCCCCTTTGAAGCATCCTACACAGTTACCTGACACATTCACAGGAAATACCTAAATAAAAGCGTTTTTGAATTCTGTTCTGGAAATTTAGTATTTAAAAACAATTTTGAGGCTACCCTGTGATCACCAGCATGATCAAAAATGCTCCTCGGAAGCTTGTATGATTAGGAGATTAGTGCTCTTTGAACTTTGATCTGCCTCATTTGTGCCTCATTACACAGGGGAAGAGACACAATCTGAGAACTGCTTTCACAGGTAGCAGATTTCTTCTGTGTAAGGGATTCACAAAAGAGCTCTTCACTTTTTTGGTTTTATTTTCTGGCTTTCAGTTCCTCACAGGGATGGCTCCAGGGTTTCTATAGTCACTGTTACCTCTAAAACAGGTAACGTTTGAACAGCCCAAAAAAGCAAAAAAAGTATGTCAAAAAAAAAAAAAAGGCAATATTATACTTGCATTCCTGCAAATAACCACGTGCTTTGGTTTGATCCATGTGATGTTCATAGGATCTGAAAGAATTAATGAAAATCTCTCATATGTGAACCTCTGGACCTGTTAACAATGCTTCAATTCCACTGTCTCTGTGCAAACAACTTATAAACACCAATATGGAAAATCTGTGATTCACAGCCTCATCTCCAGACCCAATTTTACCTCAGTTCCAGACAAACTTGTGTTGCATATCTTAATATCAGTAACTCTTCAAATCAGGAATGCCATGGCTTTAAAAATGTCTTCAATGTGAAGAGCAAGTAAGAGAATAAATGTGGTAAATACACAAATCACAAGCAACCTCCATCAGCTGTTGGGAGAGATGCAACCACCAGGAAAAACTCCCCAAAACCATGGCCCTGATCAGACTTATCAGAAGATGATGATAAACACATGGCAAGTAGATACTGAAAAAACCCCAACAAATCTCTGCAATCCCTCCTAGTGTCATAATTGCTAGATAAATTCTTCATACAGGTAACTACAGTCATGTCAGCACCACAACTGTTGTTAAACACAGAAAAAGGATCTTCACATTGCACTCTGAGTGGAAGGGGAGGCTGTAGCCCCAGAGAAGAGGTGATAAAAAGTCACATGAAGAATTAACTCCCAGGCATTATGAAGACTGACATGGTATGCATGACATCTGACCGTGCAGTGGCATCTCTGACATAGCCAACCAACCACTTCACTGGAGCTTAAAGATCTTCAATGAAAAAACACATTTCATATAAATGTGCTATAAATAATGGTCCTGATCTAGAGAGCTTCAGCTGCTTTTATCCAGCCTCTCATGCCTCCGCATCTAATTAGCCTGTAAGTTCTTTTGGTCTGGGATGGCTTCCATCATTCTGTGTGTGAGATTTCCTACATGGCTGTAGAGAGAAACAAAGGGACATAAACTGACTTGTAATCTTCTCAAGTACATTTTTTTTCTTGCAGTAGGCAAGAGATTTCAGAGTTACTTTTCCTCTCTTAGCAGCTATAAAAAGAGTAAGAGAGGAGACCGGGGCATGTCTTAGTGCCATTATTCTAACACACAGTTATTTTCCTGCTTTAACTTAAATCAGAATGTCAAAGGCCCATCTGAGCCTAGATGCCCCTGGAGCTTGCACAGTTAAGGCACACAGATTCCCGTAGCTACGTGCATGCAAGCAAGCAACAAGGTTAACACGACTGCTTCTCTTTGGTTCTCCAGACTTGTACTCCCTTTTGTAGTTGGGACAACCCGGCAGCCTCCAGCATGAACCTAGAGCAATTCCACACGCAGTGTATACCAAAGCACCCTGAGCACTGTGCTGCCACATCTCACTATAGCAGGTATAATTCAGAAACATAACGAACTCCCCATATTTGCACAAAGATGGGATAACACTGAGGATTAGTGGTATTTTTATTTCTGAATATTTCCTTTTGTAGACTGGGATATTTGTATTATAATTGCGATACCATTATAAACAATGCCAGGTACAAAGTGTTGTATGCTCTTAAGTATAAAGATGGAGATCCAGAGGAAATTGCCTGAAAGGCCTTTCATTGTAAATCAAATGCTATATCAAAAAATCAGATGAGTTAAACTTGTTTTCTCTACACAGGCTCCCTGACACAAATGGCATTTCTGGATACCTGAAAGGAATACAGAACCAGTGCTGTTGGCGAAGTCCCCAGAACTATTCTCATTGTCTAACAGTATTCACTTAATTAACATAAATTTTAGATTAAAACATAAAAATAAAGCTGTTTGGGACAGTCTAGAACTAACCACTGTTTAACAAAAGCGGTCATTCCCTTGCTGCTCTACACACCAAAAGTTCGTTACAGTGGAGCCCAGGACAGTGCCGTTTCCCCCCCGCCATGGAAGTCCACCTGACACCCATTTCTTAAGGGCAGGTAGAAGAACCCAGGTGCCACCGACACTCGACCTGGCCCGTCCCTCCGCGACGCCCGGAGCTCCAACGCACCTCAAGTGCCACAGCACCCGGCACTCCGCGTCAAACGCGACACCGATAGCAGGTACTTCCATTCCGTCTGGGGGAAAGAATTAATTTGGCCAGCTAATTCCGCTCCCCCAGCGGTGGGGGCGGGGTACGTGCGCGTTGCCATGGGCGCCGGAGGAGCACCCTGAAAGTTGCGGACGAGGGGCGGGGAGAAGGGGGCCGGGCCGGGCCGGGCGCTGTGGGGTACGGCTGCCCTCCGGGGCTGAGCTGCCGCTCGGCGCCGAGCTGAGTACCTCGGGGCTGGTTACTGCCGCGGCGGCGGCGGTGTTACGCCCACCAGCGGCTGGCGGCGGGAGGGAGGAGGGAAAGCGATAAACTTCATACTTGGCCGGGCGGGCAGGGAGCCGCATGGATGCCGCTGTCCCTCGGCGCTGACTCGCAGCCCGCGACAAGCGGTGGGGCGGCAACAGCAGTGCAGGGCTCCGCCGCGCCCTTTCCTCCGCCGCCGGCCATGGCGCGCGTGGGGCACAGGGCTCAGCCCGGCCCTTGAGAACGACGCCTCGCCCTCCCCCCTCTCTGCTGTGGCGCCGCCGCCCCCCCGCACCCCCGCCCGCCGCCACCTGCCTTTGCTTCACTGCTGCCGACCTGAGGCGTCGGGCATCGGCTTCTCCCCGCGCTGCAGCCCGCCCGATATGGAGCCGTCAGCACGAAGCGGCCGAGAGTGATCCCCGCTCTGAGACCGACCTGCTCGCCGCTCCCTCGGGGCCCGCGCTTGCTCCTATGGAGCTGGACGAGACGCCGCTCGCCCCCCCGAAGACCATGCTGCTTATGCTGAGGAAAGTTCGCAAGAGGCGGGAGATGTTGCTGCAGCAGCTGGGCTTCATCTGCGCCATCCTCTTCTTCGCCTGGTGCATGTCCAGCCTGCTCTCTAGATTGGGTGAGTTGCTGTGGTGGCGGGAGCAGCGGACCCTGGCAGGGACAGGCGGCTGTGGCTGTTCCCACTTTGAGTTTCTCAGTGGAAATAGCCCCCTGGTCGGGCAGGAGAGGCCGGGGAGCAGCGCGGGTTCCTCAGCAGAGACCCCCGTGCCGGGCAGGTGCGTGGCCGCGGTCCCGGCGGCGAGAGGCAGTGCCTGGTGGCCGAGAGCTACCGAGCCCGCCGTGGCGCTCGGGGGCTTCGGGAGTGGAAGCTGAGGGGAATCGCGGGGCAGCTGAGTGTCTGGGAGCGGGCTCAAGTAGTTTCACCGCTGTATCGGAACTGAATCCTCTCCAGCCGGTTGTGGTCCCCTCTGCAACTTCAAGCCACCTTTCATTTTCATTTTTAGGTTGTAAACTTTCATCAGCTACAACTGCCTCTTTTCACCCTCTTTTCTCTCTAATGCCTCTTCCCTCCTCCCCAGATTACAGTGTGAATTTGACAGAAAATTAGGTATTTTTAGGCAAGGAACAGTGCTAATCTTACGTTTTATAAAGAAAGTCTGTTGCATCCTTTGTGCAAATGCCTTGTTGGTAAACTGATGTATTTATAACTGACTAAATCATTGCCATTCTTTTATTGTTGTTATTGTTTTTCCTGCCTGCTGTCGCAGTTTAGGCTCAAAGTGTGCAGCTTCAGGCCCTCTTCCTGCATCCCTCAAATACAGGCTCTAAGGTTGCTGGGACACCACATGGATGGGTCTCTAGGTAGGGCTGCCAGCAGTCCTTGAGGGTTTGAGAACAAAGTCGAACTAAGCCCAGATCCTATGTCCACATTTAATGTAAAAAAAAAAAAGTCAACATTTTTAGCAGAATTAGGATAGGTCTTCTGCTTAAAATAGAGCTGAGGTTAAAATATGTGCTTTAGGGAAGAAAAATCTGATGTAACTTGTCATACTTTCTCAAGCTCTTGTGCTCAAATTGTTGCCTGGGTTGTTTGAGTTATATCTAGGATGGCAACAAGCCATCCATATAAGAACTCAGTGTGTTAGACCATATTAGCATATTGCTCATCTTAGAACTTTTTAATTGTGGTTTTATAGTATACTGTTGCTTGCTTTATTTAGAACTGTTTGTCATGCCCGTGCCTCTAATTTTTTTTTTCCTTCTTCATGCACAAGCTATTTATTTTCATAAACTTACTGTTTCTTGAAACCAAGCGCTTGGGGCATGATTATGTTTATGCAGTTTGAAGGGGTTTGGTTTTGGTTTGGTTTTTTTTGGTAGCAGATAACAGTTTTCCAGAACTTCTCTAGGTTTACATGAGAAATGTCATGACTAATGAAAGTTTTTAATCTTCTGGGTTATCAGCTAAATCCCTCATAACCTAATTTCTGATGGTATGCTGCATCAGGTAGTTGGTTTTTTTTTTTTTTTTTTTTTTTTTTTTTTTCAGCTGGCTAATTTACAGTATATTGTATCCATAAACACTGACCATCTGTTCTCTCTGTTTCTTATAATTGTGGCTTGGAATATTTTAGCAAATACTCCAGTCAGGCTAACTTCCAAGCTAGATTTTTTTAAATTTATTTATTTTTAAGAGTCACTCTTAGCACAAGCATTGAATATAAACATTAAGATCAGCTGTGGAAGAATTTTTGTTACTACAATATGTTCATTTGAAAAGGATAAGGTTGAGTTGGAAGTGATTTAATTAAGAGGTTCTATTCTTCCTTTGATTATTATAATTGCATAGCCTGCATTATCACAAGTGCTTTCTGTGTTCTATTCAGCAAGTTCCACTGAGAATGCTTCTGGAATACAAGTTAAGGCAAAAGCTCCATTGACTACCAAAGAAGTTTGTATTTCTTAAGACTTGAGGGCGTTTATTTTCAGTTTTCTTTGACAACTTATGCAGAGACTGATATTATCAAGTATACCCAACATGGAAAAGATCAGCCCCTAGAACTCGGAATAAACCAAAATGTGTCTGGAACATGTCCATCTTCATTTTTATTTTTTGAGAAATCGGTAATGTAATTTAATATGTGCAAGTGCAGATGACTAAATGGAAGTGTGACTGTTGCTCATGTCAGCATAGCAGGACTCGTTTCATCTATAGGAACTGCTGCGTGTTGAGTGCCACAGGTGCAGGTTTCAGCATTTTCTTGCTCCAGAGTGTGTTCCTGTTGTGGGTCATAGCTAAGTATTCTGATAACCAGAACATGATAACAGCTCTGATACTGCACCTGCATAGCTAGTTTCACCCTTTGGAGCTAGGAGCACCTTGCGTACGTGTGTTAGCATTTGCCCCCGTTGCACTTTGATGTTGCTGCACTAACATATGGATGCTCTGCCCTTGCTAGTGGGAGCACATAGTCCAGTTAAGATGATGCAGGAAAAAATTAGTGACAGTGGGCATAACCTCTTTCTGTTTAATGTAGGCCGAGAATCAACTACTGCAGACAGACGCGTTTTGTCAGAAATATGGAGGAATAGAAGGTTGATGGCATCTCCTAATGGGACACATGAAGAAAAGAACTGTACAGAACCAGGTAAGACAGGAAGACTTTGCGTTGTCATGTAAGCTCTTGAAATGTATTGTGTAGTGCTGCCATGACCCAGCTGTGGAGATCTGTTAAGGTAAACATGAAAGTATAGAATTCAAAAAAAGGCAGGACTGTTCTGTGTATAACTAAGATTTATTGTGCTATATAATGCCATGACTTTATCAAAGGTAAAAATTAATGTATGGATACAAGTATGTTTTGGGGTCAGTGAGACTTGTGCTGACTATTTTATTTTTCTAATTTTGTTTCTTTTGCAAGAAAGATGTTTATTGCTGTTTATATTGCACTGGTAATGAGAGTGTACTCTTCTTGAAAGTGCATAGTTGAACATGCAGTATTTGAGATGCCATCTCAGCACAGGAATTTGTGTTCATTGCCGTTATACATTTAAGCATATTTTGCTAGTTTAATGATAAACTATGTATTGAGAGTAGAAATTTATATTGTATGGAGGGGGAATGATGAGGTAACTAATATGTAAACATTGGAATCCATTTTACTTCAGGATACCTATCCTGCCCAGGCAATAGTAATTGATTGAGGGCAGGGATAGATGACGCATTTTAATATCAGTGTTAGTCCATAATGCTTTCATTTTCCCATCTGTCTTTCCAGTGTGTATTTCCTCTCTCTTCATGCCTTTCTGTGGTTTACGGTGTGTGGGAGATGAGATGCTTTGCCAGTGGGACTAGCCAAATAATTTAAAGTTCAGATAATTTTTTTTTTTAATGTGACTTTTTGATCAACTTTTGATGACAGCAGAGTCTGTACCATCTTGCAAACAATGACAGCATGAGTTCTGGGATACTGATCGCCCCAGGCACTAGAAGAGTTTAGAGCAGTACTCCCCTCTCAGATACCTGTTGTATAGACTGAGGATCACTAGTGTGCTTAAGCGTTTCTGGGGGAGTGCCAGAACATGACTGCACAAAGTAGGTCCAAAAGCTTTAACTGTATCATCAAGAGCTTCTCTGTGCTTCTCTTAAGAACTTTGTGGGTTAGCTTGCTGTCTGCATCTGTAATCTTATGATGCTCTTGATTTGTCTGTTGGAGCTGTTCATAGACAAGAAAGAAGACAAAAATGGTGTTTTGGAAGCATATAACTATTCTTGATTAATAGTCAGAAAACACTATTCTTTCCCACTCCTCTTTCATTTTTCTCCACATACGCAGAGAAAATATGATTGGATGCGTCAGTGTGATCATTCTGAACACATACTTTGCAGCACAAGCCAACAAAGGCCACAGAATCGTAGAAGCTTCATCAGAAATATGCCCATCAAAGTTCTTGATAGGGATTTCCATTTAGGATGAATGAGAACTTTTTAGCAATTATTTGATAAAACTGCCAAGGGAAAATATATGCTTATGTGTAAACTGGAATACCAGGAGCAGTGCTAACTTTTCCAGATGTTTAGAACAAATAGCTTACCTCCCTCTATTCCTATAGAATTGTAAGAATAATTGAACAGTTGAAATAAATCCAGTTGGATCATTTTTATATGTGTTCTGAAATTCAGGTTGTTGCGCAGTTTTGTCTGTAACCACGAGCAGTGGACGTGAGTAGCCCAAATATTCCTCAGGATGCTGAGGTCTTAAGAAAAATATAATGAGACTTGCATTAAGTTAATGATGCTCGTTCACAGTGCTGGAATTACCGTTTGTTTTTAAGGGTGTTTCTTCTGTTAGACGACAATTTTATAAGTCAAATGTGCCACAGGATGCAATTGTAGCATTTTTTTCAGTAGCTTCCTGTTACTCTATACTTATGTAAAGCTTATCTATGTGTATCTTGTGCAGCTGAAGGAGTGACTTAGATGCTACAAGATTGGCTAGATGTAAGATAGCTGCAACTAAAGGGAGCATCTGAAATGTCTGAAATTGATGTCTATTGAACAGGAATGGGTCTGTGAAAACCTATGATTGTTACTGCTCAGTTACAACTTCTGTAGATTTGGGGTTTTTGGGGGGTGAGAGTAAGTTTGCTTCCCTAACCAATTATCTGGTAGTGAGAGGTTGAGATTTACCCTGTAATGACCCAGAAACTATCAAAAAGAAGCACGTTGCATAGTTCATCTCTATGGGAATATGGCTTGTGTAACCCCATGACTGCATCTGGAGAAAGTAGTCCCAGCAAAGGTCAAGCAACTTGATAAAGATAGCATAGAAAATTGGTGAGTGTGGATTTTCAGTTGGAAAGCTCTCAGTCATATGCTTATCCCAATGTACTGAAAACCTCAGGAATGTGCTGTCAAACACTTTAAATGGCTGGATTATTTCTGGTCTTTCTTTTACATCTTAAGAACAGATAGTTAATATGTATAGATATTGTATGAATACAGTGGTCTCTGTAGGTGCCTTGGAGATGTATTAATTCTTACCTATGTAATTCAGTATCTTCCTTAAGCACTAGGGGCCCTGCAAATGCATGGGTGTGTATATAGTATATAGCAGTTTTCTTACGTTATGTGGATGTTTTCCTATGTATGTTTAGGATACAAGAACTTCTGAGTACCTTGGGAAATGCAAGTTCTTACTGAGAGCCTATTAATCCTGTCATTGCAGTGCTATTGCTGTGCTCATTCTTTATTAGCTTCCCACACAAGTCTGCAGCTTTACTTCCCTTTTCCCAAAGGCTTTCACCAAAGTTAATTTACCACTTCACCTCCCTTTTCTTACTTACATGCAAAATAAAAAAATATCCCCAGTTGTCAGGGATAACTGCAGCTACAGAAGTTTGCGAAACCGTGAGATCCTTGCAGTTCATGACAGTGGCAAGAAAGGCTTACCGTTGGTCATATATTTTGGGGAAAAAAATTCCATAGGCTTCTAGAAGTAATATTAAAAGCTTGTGGAAGCTCTATGTACTAGAAGCTCATGTAGCCTATATTGTCTGAGATTCTCATTTACAGAATAGATCATTTTGTATTGTGTTCTTCTGGAAACATTATTAATGCTTCTGGGGCCACTGTATCAGAACAGAAAAAGCTTTGAAGACTTTGCAGTGCCGCTTTAAAAAAGAACCCTGAGGCTCTGACAAAGGAAAGGATATATGTGTGTGTGTGTATATATAAAAAAACAGGGGAAAAAGGTTTTCTACACTTGGAGGTTACAGTGACTGATATCATGCATATCTTAAGAGGTGCTACATGTTTTTTTTTTGATATCAGCTATTCTGCACACCTAAGGAGTTATAGTTTCTATTTATCTTGTAACAGCAGAAAAGGAACTGTAGGTCAGCTGCAGGAGGTGGTGGAACATTTACGAGCATCAAGTCAACCTCAGTTCTAGGCTTGGACTGACAAAATCCTCACCAAGTTAACACGTTGTGTAGCATTTTTCTGTTAAAGATCCTTCCTGGCTTGAAACTTCCCCTTTGTTGGAAGCTCCTCTGCCATGAAAAGATACGCCTTTATACTGTTCTGGAGGACTCACAGGTTGTATGTAGTAGGCTCTGGACTTCAGAAATTTCATGAAACCCTGGGATTTATGAATTTGGAATCTTCTGCTTCTTTTGCATTGAGTATTTCTCTGGATGTCTGCTGTGGATGTCCCTCTGAGGAAAACCAGACTACCTTTTCTTTGTGGGTCTGATACTTTTCCTGGGTTAATTTCTGTGGGAGGAGAGGTTGATCTGACCCTCACTTACAGCAGAGCAGTCGGAAAGGGAGAGTAGCTGTCTCTTGCTAACATATCTCATTAGCTTGCAACCAATTTTTTTGCCTTATCCAAGCTCTCACTTCCATCTGCCACCAGCTCACTAGCTTGCAGTGCCATCTGCCCAGCAAGTCTGATTTATAGCTTCTCTGCTCCAATGGCTCGCCTCTTGTTTCAGAATGTTCCCATGACTCCATGTCCTCCTGACTAACATTTCCAGAGCAATTACAGGCTAGGGTGACTGGATGGTGCGATGTTCCTAACCATGTGATTCTGGGTTGTGTTAGGCTGTTAAAGCAACTGATCTGGAATACTTTCTGTTGCAAATATTGTGAAATAATGCAGTGCAGAGAATATTTAAACTACTTGTTGTGAATTAGAAGTGTATTGGAATATATTTATGTTAATCCTCTGGCACTAGTCATTGACCTGCCTTGAGACTGAAGGAGTTGGTGGAGTTCTCTGTCCAGTGGTTTGTCAACCATGGATAGTTGATAAGCTACATTGATTTTTTAAATAGCTTTAAATTTGGTTCAAGTGTACTTTGCTGATTGTTATTGGTGGGTAAGGGTCTATTGTGGGTTGGGGAAAGGGCAGTGGTTAGCATTTCTTTCTGAGCCATGCTAACTTTTCACTTTAGAATTAAAAGGTACATTGTAGCAACTCTTTGTTTCGCAGCGAGAGAAAAAAAACATCAGTCCTCTATGGTGAAATAAAGTGTGTTTCCCAGCAGCATGTGTATAACTGAGTTCTGAGTCAGGATCAGAAATCATTAAATTTGTGTATATTTTAAACTGTTAGTTACAACCTTGGGGACTCCGTGTAGGATGTGATGCATTGTAGAGAAACTGCAAAAGCCTTGGACAGTTTTGTTAACCTACCATGGAGAGCACAAAAGCCTGTTACTTTTCCTACAAAAATCGATGGTGTTCTTGCTGACTAAGGAAATCGGGACTAACTCTTCAAAGTTATTTTCCAAAAGGATAGAAAAAGCTATTTCTTGTATGTCTGTACAAGAACTGTAGGAATCCTATACTATAGGAAGCATTGGTTTCCATCAGTGTTATTTAACAAATGCAGTGCTTAGTTAAATGCTTCTTTCTCAGTATGTTGCATTGACGTATCTTTTTTTTTTTTTTAATCCTTATAGACACCTCAAAATATAAGATCATAAACTTTGTGTAATAAATGTTAATTTAAACATACTTCTGTTGCTGGTGTAATGTCATTTTGTGCCGATGTAAATCCTTTTTAAACAGTGTGATCCTGTGTATTTCTTCTAAACAGTGTGCTCACAAGATCAAACTTCAATTTTGTAGCAAGGATAA